GGTAGATTATCTCTAGCCAATGCTATTGGCATTGTATACATTCGTATTAAATTGTGCTGAAATGACTGAGCATGGAAGAATGGCCATTTGAGAGTGTATCAAAGGTCCATCTTGTTCAGCATGCTATCTCCAAGCATAAACAGATCTTAGTCGTGAGTATATATCTGAGCAAGAGTTAAGAACAGAGCAAGCATATGCGGCTATTTCTCTCCTTTCTCCAAGTGCCTTTTGCTTAGGGGACTTTCTGAGCCAGATGTGGCTTTGTGTATTCAATGCTAGTGTTTATGTATTCAGTGGATTTTTATTCCATGAATTTCTTAGTTTCCCTTGAACTCATGTAAAGTTGTTGTATTTGCAGCATCAGGTAGTGAGGAGGCCTCTGGCCCCTGGCCTGAGCAGTTCCTGTCTCTTGTTTGTTTTGGACTGGCTTCTGTAGTCTTCATGCTCAGTACAAGGTGTGGATAAGCCAGAGACTTATGCTGTGGCGTAAGGACCTTCTCCATTTAGATCTTTCTTCCTTTCCTAATAATTTTTAATGTCTGATTAGCCTTTTTAAGCACTACCAAGCATTCAGCTGCTGTTTTCACAGAAATGCTTATCGTAAGGGCTAACTCCTGAGTACTAATATTTGGCTCTGACCTGAGATTTTTATGTTGGGCTAGGATTGTTTTTTCTACTCCCACATTCATTGTTTTATGTTTGTTTAACTTTATCTGCTGTTTTATTGCTTTGTCACTCATAATTGGAAGGCTCTTATAGAACTGTAATGGTTAATGTTGAAGGCTGCAAAATGTAATTTTAAAATTATTTTTAATGTGTTTGTTGCTGGCAAAACTGAAGTTTGTTCTCAGATTTAAACCCTTGGCACGGAGTTCCGACAAATCTTTATAAAATTCCTGAACATGGTTTTCATGGCTATATCTAATGAACTTGTGTGAGTATAAAACATGTATCAAAACACTAGTATAAAACAAATGCACGGTGACTTTGTGTCTCTCCAGGCTTCTCAGGTGGGTTTTGACCTTGAGAGGCATGATGCTTTGTCCTAAATACCAGAGAAATCTAATTAACTTGAAGCAGCCATTTCTGTTTGGCCAGGCATGTTTCTTTGAAAATACCAAGTCTGGGGCCTGACCTTGGCAATTTGTTGGAACATGAAAATGCTGTCACAATTCATGGTTGTTCAAAAACATCTGCTTCCTTTTTATTTTAATATTTATTAGATAGGTATTTAGTAGGTACTTAATATCTATTTCTAGAACATATGTTGTGGCGCACTTAACCTCTTGGTATGTTTCCCTAGAAAAATTTACAGATGCTGAAAATGAAAATGTAACCTTTTTCTTCACTTACTCTGGGATAAAATGCTTGATTTTTTTTTTTTCTTTAGTTTTCTGAATATAGCCATAAGAGTATACTTATTTGCATTCCCAGGATGGTGCCCGTTTTCAGAAGTCCTTTGGGTGTATTGCTTCAGGTTTAACTGTTACATCCTCAGTTGTTTTCCGAGCTGCTGCATCCTCACTTTTAGAGTGTCTCTGCCCAGAAACTACTGGTCAAATTAAACCTCACACCATAGTATGATGCAATCCATTGTCTGGATTCAGTTCTGCTGGGAAAATATACTAAATGTTATTCTGAACATCATAATTAAAATGCAGGAAAAAATGAAGGGAAAGCTGTGACATGACTCTGTGCATGGTTGTTTTCTCTTGCGTGTGAAATATTTTTGCTAGACATAGAATGATTTTTTTTTTACTCCCACTAGTGTCACAGGTTGCTTTGTAATAAGATCAAACAAGAAGTGATATGCTGAAAAACAGGTGAGAACCTCTTGGATAGCTTTGAGCTATAGTGAAATTGCATATAAGTGGATAATACTGCAGAAATCATCCCCTTCAAATCCTTTCCCACTCTCAAGTTTTTCATTAATATTCCAAATACTATAGTACCTGCCTGTGACTGTATCCTTACTTTGGAGAAGGTTTGACTGGTGAGAGCTTCATCCCTTCTGGAGTTTGGTGCAGATCATTACTTCCATTTCCGGAAATGGAAGAAGGCGTATGTTTATTGTTAAGTTCTCTGTTGCCGCCCCTACTCTTCTGTACCACCAATTGCATGTGGAGGGCAAGAGTGTACCAGAAACTTCAAACAAAAGAAAAATACAAAAGGCCTTTTCTGCCTAGGTGGCCTTTCTCAGAGTATAGGCAGCTTTTGTGGTGGTGGAACAGAACTTCTCTTGTTCTGAAGTGTTTTCCGTCCTGCTCTTGCAGGCTGATAATGTAGGTTTCATGTAGGGGTAAAGTTTTAAGTATGGGGTGTTTTTTTTCCTTCCACCCTGCAACAGCACAATAACTATTAGGTACCAAAATGAAAGTACAGAAGTAAGTCCTTATGCCCCCAGGATGGGGTTGTAAAAATACATATTCAATGTAATTAGGTACCTAATTGGGTGCTTAAAGCTGAGTGATGTATATACATATGTTAGTAATTAAATTATATTGAAAAGTGCTCTATTTGTTGTGCTCTGCTCCCTACGAATCAAATTATAGGTAGGATTGTTTCTTTAACTACTTAAATGCTTGCTTTCTGGGTTGTTTCCTTTATTTTTATAAGGTTAACAAAGCTCAGAAAAGCTACCTGTGAAAGATATAAACCAGTGTGGAAAATACAAAAAGCATATGTGAAAAGGAGATTGAAAATAAACCAACTAAATCTAGCCAACTTTGCTATAGTAAACACTCTGAGGTCAAATCTTTGGAAACTGTTTCTGTCTGGTTATAAAAGCTAGTGAACAATGCAGCTCTTTGACTTGAAGTCACCAGCTAACTGTTTTGAAATAGTTTTACATAGTAGATTTTCATGCCTCAATCTCTCCAGGAGAAAACGCCATTGTGGCGAGAATGCCCACAAAAACTCTTATTAATGAGAGGATATAATAATGCGGAGAAACCAAGGGATCACACTTAATATATAAATGAGTTTTTAGTAAATATGATGGAAAAAGGAGGGGAGCTTTTACTTAACTCTCAAGGCAGAAGTAACAAACAGCCTGTGGGAGTACTTGCTGCTTCCAAGTTGTTAACAAAACTGATTTTGGAAACTTCTGTTCCAGTCAGTTGCATGAACAGAGGCATTTCTGGAAGAAAGACTGGTGCAGTGCTAGAGAACTTCAGAAATACAGGCTGGTCCAATCTAGAAATGAGGTTGGTTTCAGTGTGCTCCCGGTGAAGGTCCCCAGAACACCCCAGTGACTCATGGAATTGAATGCTTAAATTTAGGCTCGAAGCCCGTGGATTAATACAACAGGATATTCTGCAGTTATGCAGAATATCAACAAGAAAATGACAATGCTAGAAGTGCAACTGAAAAAGAAGGCAAGCCACTTGAAATTTTACCAGAAAGGTGTATTTGAGCAATTTCCATCTAAAATAAGTTCACCTACTTGGTCTTGAACCTTTTAGTCTAAATCTTTAGGTTTTAGGTTTTTTCCTCCAGTGCTTATTTTGACCATTACTAATTCCGTCCCCTACTCCCTGCCCCTTCCAATATGGACTTAGGTTGTTGTTAGCTAACCTTTAACTGGACTCTAAAGAAAAGGAGAGTAATCTCAAAATAAACCTCAGTCTTGGTAGATAGGACTAGAAGGGGTAGACTTAATTTAACACAGCTGTCAGCTGTTAGAGTTCTTATCTACTGTCTTTCTGCAGTGCTGCTGTTTACTGGTGAGAAGTAATGCTTTATTTCCACATGCTCTAGGGAATAGTCACCCTGGTGTGGGAGAGGGTAACATCAAGCAGTGCCCCTGACTGGGTGTTTGCTCTTGCAGACAAGCAACTGCAGGGTTGAACGGCCTGGCCACAGACTTCATCTCGGCCTGTCTTACGAATTAGCCTCAGTAAATTGCACTTACTGCAGTAATTAATTGTTTTGCATGTGATCAGTCTATACAGACTGTTCTCAGGAAAGATTACAGGGAGCCTGTGGGTCAAGTTATACTTGGAGTTCCTAGGAGTCTGCTGAAAATGCAACTTTTTTTTTAAACCCAGAGAACTTTGCAGACAGGGTATGATTGATTTTTATATGGTGAACATTAGTGATAGCATCAGTGTTAAGGAAATGTATCATTTTTTGAAGTTGCTGATTAAAATATGCTAGTAGTTAGTGATTCCTGTGCATGTATGTATGTGTGTGTATGTAGAAACATATAGGGATTAACAGCTTTACTTCCTCTTTGTTTGACTTTGAACTTAATGCTTTGCTTTCCCCTTATTCTTGATCTTCTAGCTTGTCATGTGCCAAACTTTAAGTATCATTATTCCACTAGTTATTTTAACAATAACATGTGGTGCACCGAAGACTTAAATAGCTCTATCTATTTTGTATTCTTTTTGTTAGACTTAGGAATTTCAAATTTGAAATGGCTTTTTTGTTTTAATGCTTCTTTTTTACAGTCCAATGCTATTTATCAACATAGTTAGAATTATGTAAAAAAAAAGGAACGTGCTCATAAATATAGCATGTGTGGGGTTTTCTGTGTTTCGTTCTTTAAAGTATTGTTTCTATTGTTTTATATTTGTTGAAAGGCTAACTTGGTGTGAAATGCTCTGACAGATTTTTCCCAGTGTGGCTACTAATAGGTTGCTTCTCTTGCAGAAAGTAAAAGGGTTTTTAGAATGCTTTAATACTAACCACACTGCAGAAGTTATTTGAATGCTGTTCTTAAAACTCATTTGAATGAGGTCTTTCAAAATTTAAAAGTTTTGAACTTTTTTAATTTTTTGTTTCTAAAATAGAAAATTTTTGTTGTTGTTTTTCCATTTTTAGAAACAGGAGTGATCTTGCGAATAGAAAATTACATCAGCTGGTTTAGTATGTTGTGTTGTAAGGGGGAAGCTATTAGTGTGGCTCCTGGGATGGGATATATATTTTAGTACACTTATTCTGTCTGTCATAAATTGCTCATTCCTTTTTTCCTTCTCCTCTCCTATGTCTTGTAGCCGTCCTCAGAAGGTGTGCCTGTGTCCATTCCTGCCAGTACATCCACTAAAAGTCTCCACCTGCTTATATATAATTCAGCATCCAGCAGAGGTGAGTAAGGCTATGGGCATGGTCAGGGTTCCCCTAGAACATTTGCCAGTTCATCTGAATTACTGAATTCATTTTTCAAATTTAGCCACTGTTGTTTTTCTTCACTTATGTTCTGGAGTCATGCCTTAGTTCTGCAACACAAGACATCTTTCCTTGTCAAAATAGTCCTGTTTAAAGTTTACATACTGTGGTATGTTATAGCATGGAGGCTTCAGGTTGATCCAGGGAGGAGTGCTTTTTAATTGCAGCAGTCCCCTTTGCTAGTGTTGCGCTAAATATTTGAACTAAGCAATTCTTAATGGTGACCCTAAATAGTTAGACAACAAAAACGACAGCTGCAGTTCAGAACAGTATGTTTTGTGGATTTTTTTATTTAGAGGAGTGCATTTGTGAACCACAAAACCAGGAGCTTGCTTTGCAGTTTGCAGTGTCTCCTTTTAAATGTACTCTTGCTTTTCAAAGATTCTAGGTGAAGGTGAAGTATTTCCTATGTTGGACTTAATACACCTAGTGTATCCTTTTACATTTCCTGTTCCATGCTTTTGAAGATCTTGTGGACTCTCATTTTTGGTTTAACTAACAGCAGATTTTATATTAATACTTTTCTTGCTTTCCTAACAATCCAGTATGATGGTGGGTTATAAGGAGTTTAGGAGCTAGACTGGTTACACGAAGTTGGAGAGATGCTGGGCCTACAAGTAAGGATATGGAGTTTGGAAACCTGAGTTCTAGTGCCACTGTTTACTTACCTAGCATTACACGGTAGCTCAGTTAGCAGATACAGTGTCAGTCCTTGCCTGGGAGAGCTTTAGTGGAGTCTAAATGAGCAAATTGGATAAAGCCTCTGGAGAAACAGAGGCTATGAAGTATTCAGTCCCTAAGCAGCGAAGTGGTGGTTTTTAAGTGGCTTTCCTAGATGCTGCTATAATAAGTGATGTTGTGTATTACTTCCGATTTCAAAAGTACTTAAGTATATGCTTAAATTATTTGCTGGAAAGAGGTTTAAAAATGTGCCCAAGATCTTTGAACTGGGAATTGAATTGGCTTGCATTTCCTATTCACAGTAGAAGGTATTAGAAAAAATAGGCAGATTCTCCTTAAAATTTTTTCTTTATTTCTGTATCCTTCTGAAAGGCCACCTACACTTCTTAATAAGCTAGCTCAACAGCTGTCTATTACAATGGAATGTAACTTTTCCATGAATGTCTTAAATAATGATATTTCAAATGATAAACCAGTAGTAAGTTTTTGCTCTGCTATAAACACAATAGGGACTTAATCACTGGTGGGTGACACCTTTTGGCTAACGGTTCAAGAGGACTTTGAAGTCATTCTTAAACCACAGAGCAGACAGTACTTTTTTCCTAGAAGGCTAAAGGACGTTATTAACATCAAATCTTTGAGGAAAGATACAGGTCTTCCAGGATGTGTAGAACTTTTGGTTAGGCAGCTGTTTTGATGAACGCTACAGTAGATACAGGTTGGACTCTGAAACCTCTGAGAGGTGACTTGCTCCCTCTCACCAGCCTTGGTGTGTGCCCATTAAAAACTGAGCACTTCATTATTATGCTGGTGGTTTTCTCTCGCTGCCTTCTTCTCATCCCCCTTTCTAATGTCTCTTCAGGGACCTTGTGACTTTTTTAAAAAGGACTTACAGAATTAAATATCAGACAGAAGGGAATACAGAGGATGGAGCCAGACTCTTCCCAGTGATGCCCAGTGACAGGAAAGGAGGCAGTGGGCATAAATTGAAACACAGGAAGTGGGGACTTGGCTTATCAGAGATAAAGCCAACTGAAACTGTGGCAACCTTACATGATCTTTGAAAATGTTTGTTTTAGATGATAGCGGGTGATGCTTTTGACTCACACCTGCCAAAGGATAGGTTCCTTTTGCTACATCTGCTAGTCTTCAGAATAGAATCAGTTTGGAAGGCAGGTAATCCTTCTGGATTTAGTAACAGAATCTGATCCTTCATTTTGCTATTTCATTGCAGATACTTTTGAATTGGACCATGGAGTGTATGTCATTATAGCAACCAGAGAGTGAATGCCTTTCTCCCACTGCACATCAGTGCTGACTTATCTTCCATGTGCTTTGTTAATTTAGTGGTTTTGGGAGTCTGCAGTGTGATGGTGTGAAATAATCCACTAACCTTGGCTAAATGATATTAGTAAGAGTAATACTATGCAAGCAAGAGGGTTACTTAGGAATTTGGGAGCAGTGTTTCCTGTGTGCTGCAGTTAATGGCTAGAGGGCATGCTGCCAGGTAGACTTGTGCAGGTGTTAAGTATTGTGAAGGAGGAATCATTTATTGTACAGCAGGAGGAACCTTACCATTCATCTTCTGTCCTTGCATAGTAGGTCCTTGCCTTGATAGTTTTTTTTTTTTAACTTGTGAAGCAATTGTTAGAGAATTCAGCATTACATGTCAAAGGGTAAATATTTGTTTTTTGAATAGTGTTGGTGCACCTGCTCATTTATTGCCACCCTTTCCATCCTTATGAAGAAGGAAGTCTTCTGACTAGTGAATTAAAAACAAATGATCCCATACTATCAATGATTACTGGTTTAGCTTTGCTGAGATAGAAGGAATCAATGGTATTTTGAGGGCTAATTCTCCTTTCTCTTGCTAACGCTTCGTTCTCCAGGTACTTTGATCCTCGTCTGTTCCTGGGAGACCTTGTGCTACGGTTACAGAGCAAAGTGGTGGTGAATGTAGCAGGATTTCTTCTTCCTTTAGCTCTGTAATGTTTTGTTTATACTTTGGAGGATCAGTAAAATTAACAGAGGGTCTGTGCAAAACAGTGGTAAAATATTCAAAGAACTAATTTAACAGCAATTTTGTGGTCGAAGGGAGAGCTCTGGGCAGCTGTAGATTGATGCTTGTGGAAGGTAACAGCCATTGAGAGCACTTAGCTAATAGCGGCCTTACTTGTTCACAAGTACTGAATTGTTGATATATGGCTCTAAAATCAAGACAGACCAAAAAACCTCATAGGTTTTTACTAATTTATTGTGTGGTTTAGGGACTGAGCCTGAATCCTGAGACATTCAGGTTAAGAATACTGTACGAACTCAGTTTTTACTGGGTTTAAGGCTTTCATAATTGTAACTCCACCTTGAGTGTCTTGGCTCCTGCTAGATTCAACTAAACTTCCTTTATTCCTGTTGCAATAAATTGCGAGTTTCTCCTTTACTTTCATCACTCAAACAATTTTTGCTGTTGCTTTATTTTCAGTACTTATCTGCACCACCTTCTCCTTGAGTAGCAGTTTAACATTTTCTAACTCTTACTCATGACGTCTGAAGTATTTGAGCTCAGTTTATGGAACTTCTTGTCTAAAGAAATTAGTGTGTTCTCAGCTATGTTAAATTAAGTACAGAAATTGATTACTGTGTTTAATAAGTAGGTAGTTCTTCAGTTAGCTCCTCTTCCTCTGTGTTTGAAGCGGAAGTCCCCTGGTTCAACACAGTTCTCTCGCTCGCTCTCTGAGATTTGAAGAGACCCTTCTCTGCTCACAGGCACAGTATCTTGTTGTTCCTAGATAGCAAAGATGTAGGTGGAGGCCCAGTCTGCATAACCTGAACAGTGTGAAGTAGGGTACTCATGGCAGTGTTGGTGCTGTGATGTTGGTTACTGTAAAGTGAAAATGGAATTCAATTCCTGTTCTGCACTGTCTGTTACTTCTCATACATCTAGTGTTTTTTGTTTTTAGCACCTGTTTGTGAAAGTCAGGATCATCTATACTGGCAGATGAGTTTCTCAATATTGGAAAATGAGTGAAGTTAGCTCCCCAACCTATTATGTTAATGTGAATGCTCTTTCCTTGGCTAATTTTATTATTTTGTTCAATTTTGGTTTTTTTCTGATACTGATAGCCTACCTGAATAAACTTATGCTGATGGTCATAGGTTAGGACAAGACCAAGTTTAACACTATTGGTCAGAACAATATGATTTGATTACATCAGAATCAGGTGTGTGTTCTTGCAGATTTTTTTCCTGTTAGCTGATACGAGTTTTTTTGTGTATGTGTAGTTGACAAAGTTAAATGGAAACTTTAAGAATTCACAGAAGCCTCCTTGGTTTTTATTAAGAAGTAACTTTTCTTTTTCAGGAAAGTCGAGTGTTAAGGACAGTACCTCTGCTAGCTGCTTGTCTCCCTCCAGACAAATGTAAAGTTTTGATTGGTCGACGTTTTAGTGAAGACAGGTGAGCAGGATTGTGAATATATTTTTCTGGTTCTCTGTATATTATTGAGATGTTTCTTCCAATTTCTTTAACAGCACTCAGTGTTCTTAGTTGTTATTTCAATGGCACATCTTCACTTTTGATGTAAGCTTCTGACTTGAAGTAAATATAAACTTGGCACAGTAGTCTGAAACAGCTGATATGTTTTCTTTTACTCAGCAGCTTCCACTATGTTAGCAAGATTCTGTTGCAAAATATTCTTTCATAATGGGCTGATGTGCTCCCTTATTTTTACTCTTCCACAGTATGCTACAATGCCATCTATATTTCAGGTGGGAGGAATGGCCAGTTCTTCCTTGGCTATGCCAGTTAATGACAAGGCAGCCAGTTTGCTGGGTTGCTCTCTTCAGCTGTGGTGCTCTTGAAAGTTCATCTAGTTACTCTGCAACTCTTTATAAAGCTTTTTGTAACTGTATTCTTAGCGGGTACTTGGCTCATCTTGCTGTTTTGCGTGGTTCTTGCAGTGTTTGCCTTGTTTGACAAACCACTTGGTGCTACTGAAATAGAAGTAGTAGTTTGTACTTGAGTGTCTGAGATTGTACTTGAGAGCGGAGTTCTCACATAAAAAATTCTTGGAGAATATAATTTTTGTCAAATCCTTTTCTCTTTCTGGAAAACTGATTATAAGGGATCATGGTGCTTTCAGTTTTTTTTTCTCTGAGACTTTGGACAATATTGGTCTCTAATGTTTTTCATCGTCATTTGTAGCAAGTCTTAGAAAACAGTTCCTGGTAGAAAAGCTGATTAAACTTTACATACGTTTTCAGTGAAAGCAAACAAAAATCATGAATATCGATGAAGCAAACTTTAAATTTGAGTTTAATCTTTGGAGAGAACTTCTCTAGAGTTCACTGAACGGAAACGTTGAGAGGTGATTCAGAATGCTGCTCCCACTCCATTGCATATAATAACTAGAGCACATTAGAAATACATTACTTTCCTGTTAGTCTTGTATGGTAATAACTCTAATAATTATCGAAAGTTCCAGGCTACAGGGAAACTGTACTCTTCCCGTTAAAGCTGAAAATGAAGCAACTTTTTGTGCTGACGTTATCAATGCAGCCTGCTTCTGGTAAATCTCCTTAGAAGTTTTTCTTAGAAGTGATGAATAGTCTTTAAAGCCCCTTTGGGTTCCACCACAAGGACGTTGCTGTAACATAAGAGCCCGTCCAGGTGAGAACCTGTTGTGGAACATCTCAACCCCAGTGTAACTTCAGTAGTTCCAGAGTTACCTAGTCCCTATGAGATCAGTATGTTTTTTGGCAGAAAACACTTAAGATGGTGAATTATCAACATACTACCAATGGACTTGAAAGAGATGAAAGTTTTTCCTCAGGTTAATGTGACTTTTGGTGATTTCACTTACCCTGATGCAGAGCTAAAAATATTTTAGGTAATAATCAGGGCCCTACTTTAAGTATCTGTAATATACCTACTTCTGTTGTACACATATGAGTGAGATGACAGCAGTCTGCAATGCATAGCAATTGAAATCATTCCTCCCTGGGAGGAAAAGGTGAAAAAAGCAAAGATGTGTTTTGTGCTTTACAATCTGTTATTTTCTATATCAGTTTATTAGCTATATATGCCTCTTGTCAGTGTTTTAATCCATGTTTCTTACTTTCAGCTAGTAATCAGTGCTTGAGTATGTGGCTAGAGGATCCTATCAATGTTACTTTGGACTTCTGGTGTCCTGTCAGGATAGGCCATAAACTAGGCAAATATATTCAGAGAGCTCAAATTAATGACCTGAAATGACTTGACGAACTGTTCCTTCTCTGTGGCATGTGCAAGGAATGTGTATCTGCAGATAGGGGTAGAAACATCCCAGGGTTTACTGTGAGTTGGGAGGATCGTAGTGGCTCCTGCCCTGCTGTTAGGATGGAAACCTCCACTAATGGAGCGCTTAAAGGCTCACAAAATACAAGCTGAACCACTGGGATTTCTGGCTGGTGTGCCAAACTAACCTGGCCCTAATTGGTGGTGGTGGGTTTGGTTTTTTCCCCTTTAAAAGCCATGCTGTTTGTAAGCAGTTTGGTAGCTGCTACACAAGCATCTTCATCAACCTTGCAGCATGTAGTGGGAGGACTTCTGTCTCTTATTTTAAGGAAAAATTATTAAAGGGTGTTTGCTGATAAATTGTATAAGCATTATTGTTATGAAGCTTATTAAGGCCTTACCTTTGATTCTTTTGAAGATCAGTGTGACCTTATTTGTCTTTTGCAGCTTCCACCAAATGCGTGGGAGGAGGGGGGAATAGAAACAAGTATAACTGAATTGATGCCTGCACTTCCGTGTGAACAGTGTCTGCAGATGGAGGGATAACTTGGTGCATGCATTTCCTTGCTTTCATGTTTATTTAGAAGCCCTACTGCACAGTCCAAGACTGGCCTGTAAAAGAGTGATACCCTTGGTGGTTGCTCATATGTTGGTAAATCGTGAGAGTAGAATGACATTAGGTGTACTTGTTAACATAGGATTCAGCAGCCCTTTGCAACAGCTTCTTTTGAACAGAATTCAAAACATCTCCAGCTGGGCTTTGGCGACCCAAATTTTCATTATGGTTTTATGTGAACATTAAGCCATCAGCTAGCTGATACTCTGTCAGCAGCACTGTAGCTCTAGCAGTGGCACACCAACCAGCAATCCGATCAGCTTTCAGGGGTGAACAAACATTACCTGAGGGAGGTGGCCCTTCCAGGCTTACTATATCTTTTTCTTCAGGGGAAAAGTAGATTGTCACCCAAGTATGTGCAGTTTATTTTTCTCAAGTTGTCTTAGCTCTGCAAAATTGTGTGTTCCCATAGTTTGTGATTGTCTGAAACTAGTGAGGAGCACCAAGGAATTTCCTTTTAAAAAAAACCTTCCCATGGAATTGAGTGCTCTAGAGAAAAGGAGATCATTAAAGCTTAGGCTTCTGATGTTTATGACAATAAAATTGAAAATTAGGCAGGAGTTTTTATTCTTGGTGGCTTTTGGTTTTTCTGAGTTCTTGTGTTTAGGTGAAAAACAAGTCAGGCTGAGCTTTTTTGTTTCCTCTACCCAATTCTACCTCATTTGCCCAACTTTTCTTGTGATTGATAATTGATACACAACTTAATTGAATTTCATATACCTTATTATTGATGATATATTGCAGAAAAGCTGAAGAACCAACTTAGTCTTTCTAGAAGAACACACAGCTAATCAAAGCTTTCTGAAGTTAATGTCTCTAACATAATATTGACACAGGAATAGAAAGATGGGAAAGTGACTTAATGTTAACTTTTGTTTTTTCTTCAGTCTTGTCTGTTCCTCATGCAATCTGGCATTTTAATTCTCTTGAAAAGTGTATAATCAAGTATACTGTCATAAGGCAATGGGCAGAAACTGAACCACAGGAAGTTCCACCTAGACCTGAGAGGAAACTTCTTCACTGTGAGGGTGACAGAGCACTGGAACAGGTTGCCCAGAGAGGTGGTGGAGTCTCCTTCGCTGGAGATATTCAAAAGCCGTCTGGATGTGATCCTGGGCAATATGCTCTAGGTGACCCTGCTTGAGCAGGGAGGTTGGACTAGATGATCTCCAGAGGTCCCTTCCAACCTAAACGATTCTGTGAAGTCTTGAAGTTTGACTTGACTGATCAGATAGCATTACTGACTTGAAAGACCAGTTTGGTTGGTTATCTGTAGCTTATGGTTGTGTGTGTGTGTTGTTTTGTTTTTTTGTTTTGTTTTAAGTACTGCTACTTTAACTTCTGCGCTATACTGTTTTGGTGTTGACTACGTTATTGATAGATACTGGTGTTCACTTTTTATACTAAAATGAGTAAGGCAGAATAAACGTTCTGGCAGTAGTACTTATCAAACAGCATTACTGCAGAAATAGCACTTTTGTGAGCAGTTAAGAATTACTGTTCACTTCTGTTTTAGATTGACAGTGAACCCAGTTTTGTAGTAGCTTGTGGAAGGTGGGGTGGGGCAGCACCACTGTCAAGTGAGAGATTGAAGTTTACGTGTGTAAAAATACTTAGCACTTTGTGCATCTGACTTACCATGCTAGTACAGATGGTGAGCCTGTTACATATAGCATCTTCTAAATGTTTTAGATGCAGACTAGGACCGCATACACCAGTAAAGGACTCGGATCAGTCATACTGAAACTTTCAATACCTTTATGTACAGTAAACTTCCCTTCTTGCGCAGTTGGGCTGATTTTGTGGGAACTGGAATTTCACTTCTGCCTTTATGAAGTGACCGAGTAACATGTAGTGAGACACGGGGAAGTTGACAGTAAGGATTAGTAACACCTACCAAAATTGTGCAATAGGACAGCAGTTAGTTTCTACGTGGCTAGTAGTTCATTTCTACTCATTTCTGATATAAGGCTGTTTCTTTTGTATTGCTGCTGCAAAGCACAGGTATTGGATAAAGTATGTAGGTTGGTTATGCTGACAAAATGCATTTTACAAATAAATGACTAGCAACTGCTGTCTGAGCCTTATCTGAGTTTTTTGAACCTTACAGGAAGGAGAATGTCAGTTACTTATTATTGATGTATCAATTTTTTTTAGTATTCATAACATGGATTTTAGCGGTTTGTAATGACTTTTAACGTCTGCACCTTAATCTCCTTTACTGGGAATGTTAGGAAAATATTTACACCTGTCTTCTAACCATTTCTTCCACTTTATTTTGCTTCTCTGTAGCTTAGAAACACTGCTTTTCTCTTGACTCTAGTAGCTGTTTGCTTCATATCTCTGAGGTTTTTTTCCTTAGTGACTTTACCAGCATTCAAATACCACTCGTTGCTCTTTTTCTCCATGTTAGCATTCACTACTTAGGTGTAGTTTTCCTTTCCTTTTTTTCCTGGCTTTCTAGGTGTGTACATATGCTACAAGTTGTATGATCTTTTCTTTTTCCCGTTCTTTGAAGTCTTCCAGCAGCAGAAGTCCAGGTAGCATTTCCCATTTTTTTTTTTTC